ATTTGACTTTTTGTAGGCTTTTATTTTTATCTTATTTATCTATCTATTATTCTACCATTACTTAATCGTTTTAGAAAATTTGCAAAGTTCTTTTATTTCTATTCTTAATCTTACTTCTAGAACTAAAATCGTATATTTCTTAATCTTATCTCTATACTAACTTTATCTGTGCCTTAACATTGACTGTAACCTTAACTACATCTCTAGCAAATTTATGCTAGAGCTCTAACTTCAACCTGTCTATAGCCTTACTGCTGATTTCTTTAATCTCTCTATTATAAAAAGTCGCATTTTTTAATAACAAGCGTTTTTAATGCAATTTACACTTTTAATTGATCGTATTTGCACCTACTTCTGAACAAATTTGCCGTTAGCAGTCAGATTTATTAAAATGGGTGCTGTCTGCAGCGCTCGTAGGCGTCGAAAAGCGCCACATTCTGTTCTGCATCGATACATTTTAATCGCCCACGGCTGCCTACAGCTATTAGACACCTCAATCGTTTGCGATTTCTGCTGAACACTTGCTATTCCGGAAGCTTACAAGCATACGAACAATAACGAGTATGCGTTAAGCGTTTGACGGAATGCGACGACAAACAGCTGTTGCGTAGTCATTGATAAATATAAAACTAAATGTTGTTGACAATTTAGTTTAGCAAAAAAATATAAAAGAAAACGAATGTGACGAGCTGCAAAGCTTGTCAGCTGTTTTTTTTTTTTTAGTAATAATCACTAATAAAATGTTAAAATTAATAATATTAATAGCTGTAGAATAATAACAGAATGAAGCGTATTTCGCAGTAACGACAGTTTTAGGCCGAAAATTTAGAAAACGAAAACTTTTTAAAAGGTCTAAATCACAAAATAGTGCATTTGTAAAACAATTATGAATAAAAAATTTTTTCTAAGAAAAATAGTTTTAATTGCCGTTACAAAATAACGCTAAAATCCCAAATAGCTTGTGGCCGCGAACCAAGAAATTTATTTAAAATCATCTCCACTTCAAAAGCAAGCATACCGTACACATAAAATTTCTAGAAAACATTGTTTACCATATATATCATAACCAAAATTGTATAACAAGCAAAAGTATAGCTTCGTATTACTTTGCGCTTTGTTGTTCTTTTCTCCACTCTTTAATTACTTTTTGCTTTAATTTTCGCTATGGTGTTGATTTCATTCGCCTTTGCGCGGCCGCCTGTTGTGGGCGTGTAAATACAAGTATTTAAAAACAAATTTGGTAAATAATGAATTTACTTAGAATTCGGCTGACTTGTGGTTTTTTATGCGCGTATTTCGAGTGAAAGCAATCCATTTCAGAGTAGGAAACCGTATTTGAAATTTAATTATTGTAATAAAAAAACATATATTTTATGTTTTTGTTTTGAATAATTATGTGCGTGAGTTATGCGCTATTTTTAAAAGTAATTGAGTAGCGATTTAAATGTAGCAACATACTAAATAGTATACTATATATGTATATTTATATGTGCTTGTTTACTTAGGGTGTGCACATAGTGGCACGAGAAACGAGGTAAAACCTCAAAAAAAGTTTAGAAACGCCATGTGCTGCTAACCCACTGTCAGATCTTGCGGATAAATTTGTATTAAATTTAGTAAGAGATTATAAGATTACACATTTTTTCGGAAGTCCAAAAAGTTTACAATTTGAAGAAATACCCCCAGTGTTGTTGAATAGAAATGAACTGGGTCTTATGTTATACTATGTATGTATAATTGAACATTTTTATAACAGCCCGGTTTTGTTGTTGACTATTTTGACAGATCCGAAGCATATACAAACAAACAGATTTTCAGCTTAAACACTCCTAGTGTTCTTCTATTCTTCTAACATCAAATTACTAATTTCAATCATAATTTAGCAGTTTGCATAACCCTTTATCACATAATGAAGTTTACTCTTTATTACTGAGCATCAGCATGTCGCTGGAAATTAACGGAAAAGCGTCAAATATTAAACCTATTATAATCCTAAATTTTGTTAAAAAGGTCTAATAGATCACAGCTAACACGGCATTACTTTCTCTTACCAGGTAAATTTAAATCTTTCTAGCTAGAAAAGCTGTAATTTAGGAAGTTTCTGTAGAGCTTGACGATCAGTAACAACAAGTCTTCGCGGAAGAGCTATGTATGTGGTCGGAACTGACTAAAATTTTTATCGAAGCTCAAGGGGAAGGAATTTAGGAAATTTGTATGCAAGCAATATTTCTCAAAACTAAAAATTGCTGAATACTTCAATAATATCATTAAATGTTAAGATATAATATATAAACTTTTCTCTGTTCTTTACCGGTTGGAATTCGCACGCAGTTAAATTCTTGAAATTTATCACTCATCATTTTTTTTAGTGCCGCTTCCCCATTTAAATAAGTCTCGCACTTTCTGCGCTAAAAGCAAAATATTTGCTATCTCATTGTTTTTTTTTTTTTATATTCCACACACTACCTTTCGTCAAAGGTAAACCTACAAATATGCATACTAAGTGAACTACTAGAGCAAATTACTTAATTTCTCGGCATGAATGTACATATGTACTTATGCCTACTTTATATATATGTAAGTATATATAGGTATGTAGTTATGAGGAAAAATTGCGAGAATTGCGCACACGCTAAGGAATTTGCATGATGTTGACAAAGTTTATTTCCATATAAATATTAGATCATAACATCTACTTGTGTGTACCTCATCTAAATGACTTATGTGAATGTGTATCAACTTAGCTAATGCATAGTAGGGCATAAGATAAAATAACTTACTTCACAAACCCAATGTCTGAGCGCAGTTAGATCAGTAAATAAACTATTAAAACAAGGGATTTGAGGTCGTAAAAAATAAGCGAAGAAAATACGTAAATAAATGAAAATATTTAGATTTTGCTTTTAATTAAGAAACGCTGCAAGCGAGCAGCGCGACAGTAATTTCATAACCCTTGAAAGCTGAATATTGACATACAGCTGCAAGGTAAACGAAATTACATATGTATGTGCGAAAGTCATACGAAAAATGCGGTGAATTTAAATCTTATATTTATGGAATTGTTGCGAAAAGCGAATATAGCGTTGAAATCGCCAACTAATTAGTGTCGCCTTGTATTTTCTTATCATTAATCATATTTGGGCAGCTCGAGCAGCTGTTGTGATTTTCCTTTAATGAAATTTGAAACTTGATACAAGAAGATATTAAAAAAAAATACTCAAAAGAGATTAAAAAATTACAAATATAAAAGAAAAAATAAAACCAAAACTAACAGAATATAAAAAATAAAAAATTAAATAAAATAAAAATATAGAAGAAAAAATAAAACAATAAAATATTTATTATAAACAAAAAATATTGCAAAAGAAAAATAAAAAATTACAGAAACACCTTACCAAATTATTGCGTTCAGCGAAAGCTGTCTTAATTAATTTTCTGTTATTGACGCCTGCAGTTGTAATAGCTAGATAATACTGTTACAAATCACCTAATAATAAAAAACTTAAAAAAAAAACAACAACAACTACATATCATACATTTGTGTGCACGAAAAATGAGATTAATTGCTTCAATCAGTCTTAAGGCAAAGCGCGATAAATTATTACTTTTTATACACACATACCAACAAATGTATATCTATTAGGGTGGGTTAAAAAAACGATTATTTGTTTCACTTAATACTCTGAAACATTTGTTGGTAGACAGCACAAATTTTTTCGCAATATTTTTACAAACGCAAAGTTATTATTGAAAAAAAAAATTTTTTTTTTTGTACCCACCCCAATATGTACATATGTATACCTTAAATTATTTTTTCATTTTCTCTTTCACAATTTCTTTACAAAATTCAATCAAATAGTTGCATATAAACAGTTTCATTTGCGAAATATTGAAAAAATAAAGGAACTATACTCCACAAGAGATAAATGAATTTTATCAAATCAAAACATGTGCACATAAAAACAATCAAACAAAAACGTTAACAATATAAGTTTGTAAGCGAAAACAAATAAACAAAAACATGAAATGAAACGAAAACAATTCAAGTGATAGCGAAATTGTGAATTTAAAAAACGAAAGGCTAGTAAACAGAAACAACAAAACAAAAGCTTAACAGCAATTATGTGACTGAAAAACGCAGAAAATAACAATATTTTACACAAACGGCAGCAGCAACAAGGAAAATAACACCAAATAGTTTGGATAAGATACAGATTAGAAAACAGAAAGGCAGTTGGCGAGAAATTAAATTGGTTGTAATGAAGCGTGTTGGCTTGAAAATTAAATTTTGACAGATAAATTAGATTGACATTGGTGGCAGCGAATTTTTAAAATATTTAAGTAGTGACAAAAAAAAAAAATTATTTAAAAATAAATAACATTTTGCAAGAATATAAAAAATAATAATCGGTTAAAAAAAATTACAAAAAATAATTACATGAAATTTAAAATAAAAAAAGTTTTTTGGAAATTAAAATTAAAAACTAATAATAAAAAATGTATATGCACGCATAAAATAATATTAATATTAAAAAAATAATTTAAAAAACATACAAAAAAAATAATGTAAAAAAAATTACATTAATAAAATAACTAATTAATTTAAAAATAAATGAATAATAATAAAAAGTTATTATAATAATAAGAAAAATAAAGTAATATATATAAAATAAATTTAAAAATATATTAAATTAACAGTAAAAAATCAAATATATATAAAATAGTAATATAAATTAAATTGTCAATAAAAATAATATAAAAATATGCAGCAAAAACAAAATTGGTATTAAAAACAAAAATAAAATTTAAAAAATAATAAAAATTAAAATAAAATAATAAACAAAAAAAAATATTAAAAAAAAATTATAATAAACAAATAAAATAATGTGAAAAATTTTACAGACAAAATGAAATAAGATTAATAAATCTCAATTAAAAACACAAAAAAGTCTAAACCAGATTCAAATTACATAAGTAAAGTGAAAGTATAGAAGAAATCAGTAAAATAGAAAATGCAAGCTTTAAACATAATAAAATATATGTAAATCTATAATTTGAATAGAATTTATTTAAAATAAAAGAGATTTTAGAAATATAGAATGAAATAACTGTAAGCTTTCGAGAACTTTTTTTCATATCTTTCGGGTGTCTTGAGATCTCAATTGCCAGATTGCATTCGTTCAACGTACTAAAAGGTGTAGCGAAGAAATGAAGGAAATAAGAGCTGTAAATGAGTGTGTTAACATTAGGGAGAGAGTAGATCTTCTCAGCAGGTTGGACGCAACTCATTTTAACTGATTGTTTAGCATCCCCATGAAATTCAGGGCATTAGAATCGACTTTGCCGAAGAAAAAACTTCGAAAAGAGGTTAGCAGCTACAAGAAAAATGCTTGACTTAAGCTCCTTCATTACCAGATATGACCCGCTGTAATTTTTTTAAGTCTCCAAAACACAAATATATGTAGCTTCTAAAACCTTTTTTTTAATTTCCATGGGTAGAATTCGGTATATCATATTCTTGTTTCAAGTCTTTATAAAAACCTCTCACTGTTAACGTTACATGCTAAGGCAACACGAATCGCTCCCAAGTATATGTCTGCTGTTGGTGAAATTTTAACGAACTCAGGGAAATAAAACTCTTTATTTAACAAATTTATGCAAGAACACCAACCCAATTCACATCAACAAGTTGCAATTGCCCACACCAAACACTGCTGGAGCAAGTGGGACGTTTGTGCTGAGCAGCCTATGCTGTTGACCAAAACCACCACCAAGCGCTCAACGCCAACGACAGTCCACACAATTTCGACATTAGCAACAGCAGTTTGCTGCTTTGTTGCAACTTGTGGCTGCGGCGTGCCCAGCAATGGTCGTCTGTCTGGTCTGCACGCCTGCATGTCACTTTCGGACTGTACGACGACTTCCACCATCTGCATGGGTGTGTGTGTGTGTGTGTGTGTGTGTGTAAGTCCACCGGACGCCAAACGTATATCGTCTTGGTCACTTTTCCTGCCGTGATGTTGGCGTCATCATGCAACGCCAAGACCACGGTTGCTGCTTGCTGGCTACAAGCCGCAAAGGAAGCGCAACAGCCAACAATATGTATTAAGGAAATAGCAACAATAACGATTTTGAAACGAAATTAAAAGCGGCAACTACCACAACACCAATAAGCACAAAAAAGGTAACCACATTTCGAGTCACCATCAACCAGAGCAACAACAGCTATTGCAACATGATCAATATCGCCAATAATGCACAACAACTACAAAATAAGATCAATTTATACCCAACACACAGTCAAGAGCATACAAGTACAGCACACAAAACGAAACCGCACACAAAACCAGCACCTCCACTGACATCGTTCAGCGCCACATACACATGTACATTCATACTTGTATGTGAGCCCTGCTTGTAACGCCGTTTGCTGCGGCTCAGACGCGCTTCAACTTGTTGTTGACTTTCGTGTTGTTGCTGCTGATATGTCTCAACGTCATTTCGCCGCAAGTGTGGCGTAGACCAGCGCCGTAGTCGCTTGGACGCTACGCTCGACGAGCGTCTCAGCTCATTGCGCGTCCACACATTGCGGCGTGCAGTTCGCCATTTCGCGCTTCAACTGCCTTTCTTCCGTACTTCTTTATTCCACTCCAGTTCGGTTACGTTCGAAATTTAGTTCGGCTCAGTTCAGCTTATTTGTTTGCAAGCTGATGATGTTTGTCGGCGCAGCGCGTAAGACCGCGTAATTCAAGTGTCAACATCGTTTAAAAAATTACCACGATTCTTCGTCCAGTGCTTTTTGCAAGAAAAAAAGACGTTTTAATGCGCAAAATTCTTTAAACTTGGATTATTTAATGCAGTGTGCTTTTTGAGGTTGTGAAAAAATTGCAAATAACAATTTGCATGTTGTGTAAGTGGAATTTCTTCGCCAACTTGACTGTTGACTGATAAATTTTATTGTGTGTGGGTGCTGCTCGGTGATAACATTTTTGATGTTTTAAATACAAAAACAAACAAAAAATTAAGAAACAGAAATATTTATTATATTTGCATTTTCATTTAAAATTAAGGGATTTAGTTTAACAAATACAAATATATGTTGCAAGTGATATTTGGACGAACTACAGAAAAGGGATAAAAAAAGTAAACCTTATTTGATGCAATTTTTTAATAAAAAATTAATATAAAAACGTTATGAGTATTAAGCACGTTTTTGGCGTATGACAGTAAATAATTTATGTTAATATCTTATATATACAATAAATAAAAAAAGCTAGAAAAAAATTGAAATGGATTATATTATATATGCATTAAATTGGAAGAACTTTTCAAGTAAATTAATATATATAAATATTTTTTTATAAAATAAGTAACAACTATCTGGATGCAAATTTTAAAGCAAAAAAAGCATTGGAAAATAAATAAATAGATACTAATAAATTTAAAATAAATATAAAAAAAAAATTATCTAGAACAACAATTATAAAAAAAAATAATGTTTCAAGTAAAAAAAAATTCAAAAAAAATAAAAATACACTATTTAACTTAAAATAGTGAATAATAAAAATCAGCAAATACTATGTAAAAAACCAACTTAATTTAAAATAATCATAAGAATATAATTTTGAAAAAAATTTAAAAAACTAAACAATATTTGCAATAAAAAAAATCATAAAATAGCCAAAAAAATAGTATTTAATTTAAAACAAGCATTAAAAAATATAATTTCGAATATTATTTTTCAAGAAAAAATTAAATTTTATTGGAAAATGTGTAAAAAATACATATATTAATTTATATAATATTTAAAATAAAATAATATATGTATGTATATTTAAAAAAGTTTTAGAATTAAAAATAATAAATAATTTTGTCCTAAAAATTAATAATATAGTTATATATTTCTAATATTTGCTATATACTATAAAAAGTGAACAGTAAAGTTTTCAGAATATATTTCAATTTAATTTTGCACAGTACCTAACATAAATATATGTATTGATAACTAACATTTTTTGTTAAAAAATATTGTTAAAATATTTGTGTATTATAAAAAAAAAATATAAAATATATAAATGAATTAAATATTAATAAATAAAAAATTTTATTAAAAAATAATATATATTAAAAACCAAGAATACTTGTATATACCTTTAAAAAAATTAAAATTGCATAAAATATATAAATGATTAAACATTTTTGGAAAGTAATACATTTTCTTAAATAAATGTCAATATATTTGATGATGATTCATTGAAAAACACCGAAAAATATAAATTAAATTAAATCAATATAAATTATCAAAATAATATAAAATCGTATATAAAAAAATTTTTTTTAAATGTTTTGTGTTGATATATTTTTTTTTCTTTTATTTATTATCTTATAGTTGTTGTTTTATAAATTGTTGTTTTAATACTCAGAAACATTTATTTTTTAAATAATTTGAAAAACTATGCATTTCGAAAGGCATCAAAAGTAGGCTTTATCTTACTTCCGGCCCATAAATATATAAGAAAACTGTACGATATATATAATTCCACTTAAAATTATATAATTTCACTTAAAACGAGATGTTTTGTTTATTAAATAAAAAACTTGAAAAAGAAGAAGTGTCAATTCTGACGTATCAAAAAAGCGATATCCCTATAATTGATAAACATATGTAGGTAGATATGGTTTGCATACGTTTTGAGAAAGTGTAAGAAACTATTGTAGATCATCTCTACACCATCTTATATTCAATTAATTTTCCTTACTTCGTATTGATTTCGAAAATAAATATGAAACATATACAAAAAAGTTTTCGGTTTTTGAAAAGATTGAATATTTATTCAAAAATTTAATACGTAGTTCTAAAAATAAAAAAAAAATAAAAAAACTTGGTTTTTGCTGTATTTACTCAAAAATTAAATTTCTCTCAAAAACAAGTAAAAAGTTTTCGAAAATGTGATTTTTGTGTTACTATTTTAAAATTATAGGCTACATTTTTTATTATTATTTCAAAATCGATTAACAAATTATAAACGCTAAAAAAATATAGTGAAAAGAAAAATTATAAATCTTTAAATGTTTATTTTTTCTTTAAAGGAGCACAAATTTTTTGTATATTTTCCTTTTCTCTTGGCTTTCATGCCCATTAATCACAAAAAATGCGGTTAGCTGCGTGAGAACGCAAATGTTCCACATAAACTATTTAAATAAATGCATGCATAAATTTATTGAAGGTGTGCGCACATGCACGTGTGTGTGCATGAGTGCGTCAAGTTTTCTTCTTGAAAAATAAAAAAAAGCACTTTCTGCAGTTTCCCGCAGACATAAAGACTTTTCATCTTTTGGCCTTTTTATACAAGGTATTTGTAGTTATGGTTGTTGTAAATGTGTTTAGGTATAGTTGTAGTTATATATACAATATGTATGTGTGAGTTCTGAGCACCTCAGCGCCTGCAGTTTTTCATACAAATTAATTTTATTTGTTCACATTACACGAATAACTTGTGGCAGTTCTGACAGCAGCGAACGCAGACCACAAGTGTATATGTGCACATGTGTATATGAATGTAAGTGTGGTGTTGTTGTTTCTTGCCGGTTTTTATGCTTGAAAAGACGATAATAGAGGTGAGGAAGTACAATGGATGACTGAGTGCGCGTCCGTCGAGCAAGAGGGGCGGCGTTACTGGCGACAGCACAGTGTTGTTGATATGAATGGACGTGATGAATCATTCTGCTTGGCACTAAATGCATGGCTATACATAAATCCATGTATGTGGCAGCACCCCACACGCACCAACTAAATGTTCCGTCGATTGAGTAGCCCAAATGGCATATATAAATAAATATATATATTGTATAAATATACTTAGTTATATACTTGATTGTAGTATTTAAGAAGAATGCGGCATGGCAGACATCAGCGCTTTGTAATAGATCGCACGCTCCCTGTTCAACACACTAGTATTTGGCCTCCTGACAGCTTGCAACCGCATTCACCTTGTGCCAGAAACGCCGCCACCTACCTACACCTACATAAACACACATGCATAGTATACCTGTTAACAATAACAATGTTTGCTCTGACTGCCCTATTAGCCTAAAGGCAAGCAACCACTAAGTAAATGCCAGCCCAGATCAGATCGACATACACTCAAGACATTCATGCCTTGCCACAAGGCATTGAAAACGAGTAGAAGATAAAAATGCAAAATGTGCGACCAATCGCACTGAAAGGTTCCATCTCACGCTCAAAAATTTTTATCGCATTTTCTACTTCATTAGAATTTTTCATGATCGCATTGAATTGAGTTCGTTTTATTATTTTCTTGGTTGGTAAGCGATCAGGGCACTATGACGTGATGTGATCATGAATAATTTTTTCTCTTTTGTGATAAAAAAGAAAACATAAAAAAGACCCACACACTTTGCTTATAAGCAAACCGCAGTACATACATACATACATACATGTTACTACATACAAGTATGTGACAGATCAGCTGTAGAACATATGTGCCATGGCATTTCGAAACCATACACCAACCAAATGCTATGAGTCAGCAGTATTTCCTCAAAATTTAACAACCTCAAATGGCTAGTTTAATTGAATTAGAGTTCAAAGCGCGCACAAACACAGTTGCGTGCCTTTTTTGGGGTTCAAGAAGATCACATATGATCATTGCCGGTCATACTGATTACTTTCGCACTATTTGTCAGCGCACAGTCAGCGTCAAATGAATGTCCGCAAATTGAAGATTTAGCAAAAAACGAGGCCAAGCAGTATATTACATTACGAGATACACATACGCACAAATCAATAAAACGTTGATATTTCCTCATTAATGATCATGTCAGGATCCTCTTTGATCATTCGAGCGTATTTAATGATTTAAGCTTATTATTACCGCATACGCTTATTATATGAGTTGTATACGAGTATCTGTGTGTATGCATTTTACTAGTGTTGCGTTTTGAACTCAGTGAGAGTAAATTTATTACGCTCTTTTATGATGCGTTTTACGTTTGCTGCTTAACCATTTGTTAGGCTTTGGTTACCGTTACACGCAATTGTTATGTTTTTCCGTGAATTTTATGTCGGTTTGCAAGCAGAAACAGCGCGATATCCTGCTGGAAATTTGATTCAGCTGTAAGTGTTATTTATTGACAGCTGTCAATTTTATGAACCATAAAGCTCATTTCGTGTAATGAAGATCATTTGGCGTGGTAATCGTACCGACTTCGGTTTCACAAAATTTTTGATATGAATGCAAGAAAGCTCTTTACCATATTTAAATTGTAATCTATAACCGTTTAGGGCGTAAATTTTATTTACAATGTCAATTGATAAGTTGATCACCAATAAATATCGCAAACCAGGAAAGTTTTTCTCTAAAGTACGTAGTTAATCTTATAAATTTTGTAAGTAGATAGCAAATAACTGCATTAAGGATGATTGCTAAAGGAAACCCTCAGATAAATTAAAAAAAAAATTGCATTATGAACGTTTAAAGAACCTAAGTAAGTTATTAGTGTTGTAACAATGTAAAGAAATCACAGTTTTAACATCACAAGCGATTTTGTAAAAAATCAGCTGTCAAGTTCTTTTAGAGATCAAGGTTGCAAGGGACACATGTGATATATCTTAAGCGATTTTTAAACATTTTCTCTTCCAAAACTTACTCGAAAAAGTATAAGGCTCACTTTTTGGTTTTAGCATTTCCGAAACTACTCTTTATGTATGATTAAAACATCTCGCAGTACAAGATTATTTCATAATTTTTCTAAACTTTGGAGAAGCTATGTGTGAGACCTTCTAAATGGTAGATGATTATTACCTAAAAATTTGTATGGAATCTAACTGCTTGGATTTGGTTAAAACTAAGCGCTTTACACAGAAAAAAAAAACATAACAACAACAAAGAGTTAGTGAGCTCAGGAAGTTTTGGCTTTTAGCTCGTTTCTCAGCTAAGATTTTAAAGTGTATACCATAAACGGTGAAAGCTTAAAAGCCTGAAAAGCGTAGTACGCTCCGAGTCGTCGATAATTCTGAGTTAAATCTCATTTTGTGATCAACCACCTATTTTTTCGCTTTTGCGCAGCCTCAAGATTCTAGAACAAGTCATACTTATAAAACAAAATAATAAAGTTGCAATTTTTTGGTATTTTTTATATAAAAATTAAAAAAAGAAATATTAAAAAAATTACAAACTTAAGTACAAAGGTCATTTGAGCAGCAGCAAGTGCCAACAAAGGCAAGACTAGTACGCAAATAATTTTTAACAGTAAACGAATTTGTAGGCGATTAAAAAAATAATTTTTGAAATAAACACAATACTAATTTATATGCCAAAAAAATAATTATACGAAAATACGCTATATTTGTAGCGATTAATAGCTTAATAAAAATTAAAAAAAAATTTTAATATAATATATACTTTATTTTCATAATCTGGACTTTATCAAGGTACCAAAAACCATAAAGTTCTACTTGCAAAATTAAGTAATACTTTTTGTTTAGAAAAATCGTGTAATCAAGCGCTATTAACGGCTGAGTTATCGATATATATGTATGAAAATCTCTATATTAACTTCATATTATAATAATATTATTATATATAATTTATATTGTATATTCATGAATACTTGGTGCTCAAATGTCGCTGAAATGCGATATTATTGTAACAAAGGAATCCGGCGGCACCCACACTTCAGCTTTTATTTATTGTGTATAACGACGGACGATTCATTTTCTAGAAACGCTTAGATATGCGCACGTACATACGGACATATGTAACTGATAATAAAATTTATAGGCATACCAATAAAGGCAGCGATGAGTGGCAGCACAATTAGGTGGTGATTATAAAGTAATAAAATCAATTGAACCGGAATATAAAGAAAAAAACATAAAATATTAATTTAAATACGTGATTAAGTCAGCAACGTGCTAGTACGGGTGCAACTAAAAACAACAACAAATATAACAAATAATCATAAGCAATCTGGAGTGATCGTCGAAGCACGCACCGAGTAAAAGCGACAACAAAAACAATTCAAAGTGATTTTCTGAATTCAAGTGAAATTGTGTGCAACAAAAAGTGTTTAAAACAAAAACAACAAGTCTTAAGTTTACTGCATTTTAATTGAAAGAAAACTCTACACACGCGACCGCCACAAGTGTGAAAATGGCCACGACAATGCAACCAAGTGCCGCGCCAGCGAATGCGGCCACAAATCCTCAATTGAAGCGCATTGTCTACTCGAAATATCGCGAACTTTTGGGTTCCTACAACGACAAGGCGAATGCAATTATCGAAACGCTGCCAGCTTATATGGTGCGCGAGGATCGCGGTTTTCATTGTGAGCCCAACAGCGCAGTGACTGCGACGGTAACAGCAGCGGCAGCGGCACCGCCAACAGTGGCGTCAACGGTGGCATCGAAAACCATAATAAGTATACCAGCCAGAGCACCAACAGCTTCGCCGCCAAGTCAACATATAACAGCAACAATTGCTGGCACAACATCGCCAGCAACACTGACAAATGGCACGGCGCCACCGAATTGCGCAGCGGCAGCGCTATTACGACAGGTTGCCGCGGCGGCGGCGGCCGCAGCAGCAGCACAGGGTGAACGTGTGAGCGAATTGTAAGTGCGCACTTTTTACTCGATTGAGATTGTGAGTTTGGGTTTCTAGATAGGTTTAAAGGATTTTTTAAGAAATTTATTAGTTGAAAAGATTTGTTTATAAAAATAATTAGCATAAAATATATAGGTAGTAAGGGAAATGTAATATTTTAATATCTTTTCATTGCTTACTGCTGATATTCTAATATTTTATTGGTGGATATAGAAAAAATAATGTTTTTTTGACAAAAGTGAAAGGCAAAATAAGAAAATTGTTAAATGGGAGAGAAATAAAAAAAAAATTTTTAATTTAACTTAGTAGAGAAAACTAATTAAATTAAATAAAATTTTATAGAAATAATTAATGTAAATAAAAAAATATGAATTAACATATCAATTAACCTAAAGTAGGTAACAATATAAATTTGTTTAGAAATAACATTTTGTTAAGATATAAATTCGGTCTTTGAAATAATTTTTAACACTATAAAAATGAGCAAAAAATTAAGAACTTTTGAGAACGAAATTAACAATTTTAATATAAATAAAATTATAATATTAAAAAAGTTTTCCATACCAGAAATCATTTTTGATAGTTAAGGTTGTACAGCAGCTATATGCTATAGCAGTCTACTCTCGGCAATTCCGGCATTCAATGAGCAGCTTCTTAGGGAGAAAATAACGTGTGCAAACTTAGAGATCGATATCTCAAAAACTGAGGGACGAGTATCGGCATATATAGACAGAAAGACGCTGATCATGATATATTTTATAGAGTCTCCGATGATTCTTTGTGGGTGTTACAAACCTCATGGCAATGGTATAATAATATGAACAACTTAGCCCAACCGCATATTTATTATTTTCATGCATTATTTTGTAAAGGCACGATTGTTTATAGACTGTTTCCTGATTTAATTCTTTACTTTGTAAGCAAACGATTTGTGAGCTTCTGTATTCATACCAATGTGTGCACACCCTTCGCTGCAAAACACACAAAAAACGCCATCTTGTGGTTTCGCCACTCATTTTCCAGCGACTTGTTAACGTTGATCTATTTATAGCATCGCAAGTTGTCATTATGTCATGTACTGCTGAAGCAATTGCTTGTGCGACACAACTTCTTCTAACCCCCCCAACATGGCATCCAAGCACACACATATACACCGATTGTACATATGTAGTCAGCAACGCATTTGCTTTTCTTTTTTTATGACGCCCTTGATCTTGAAAAATCGCTGTGAGTCAGTGTTGTTGGATGTGTGGGTGAAGCGGAGGGGAGGGTGGCTCTGTGGTATTGTGTTTTGTGGAAAATAAAGAAAAGCAAAAGTTTCGCGGTCCATAAAGCGCCATGGCGGCCTCCCCACTCCAAGCAACACTAAGTGAAATGCCATTGAACGCTTAAAAATGCCTTCCAAGAAGAAAGAAAAATCAAAAGACAAAGAAAAAAAGAAAAACGTTGAATGCCAAATAACAAAAGCACAAGCAACAAATGGGTGATGCCAATCAACGACAGCAGCAACATGTTGTTGCTCCATACCGATGAATTGGCAGACTGTATGCAGCTATATACATATTCATATAAGCTTATATATCTACTTGTATATATGCATATGTGCACATACTTGTAAATATATACATATTTGTATTTATATATATATATTGTATGCTCGCCGGTTGCTATGGCTCAGGCTGTTGAGTATACTGCATTTCTTTGTTGCAGCCTTTGTTTGGGCAAGCAAAATGCAACTTGAAGTGAGTATTACGAGATTAAATGGCGTTCATTAAATTGTGGATGATGCTGGCCGTTGAAAAAAAAGGAGTGGAAAAAATTGTTGCACGACGAATCAGTATTACATATGGGTCGCACATTCACTGAGTGTCGTATTTTTAAGTATCGCTGCACTATTTTTAGCAATCACTGATTTCTGTGGAATCAGCAGCGCGCAAAAGAACCAAGTATGGGAAGAAAATCGAAACTTGATGAGTAAGGGAAGTGGAAGTTTTTATGCTGTGTCTTTATAATTTTATATTTAGGTGGTGCACATTTTTCCAAGCTAATTATTAGAATTGAGTTAAAAAATGCGAAAGATATTAAATTTAAAAACATTAAAATTCATTAATAAATTAACAAAGATAAGTTTGAAAGTTATTATAATAAACAAATAACATAACAAAATGAGAAAAAACATTAACGCGGTTGCACCGCAGCTAAAATACACTTCACAAATAAAGAAATTTCTATACAACGGCTTCAATTTGATTGTTCAGTTTGTATGACAGTTATATGCTATAGTGGTCCGATATAGAAAGTTTCTTCAAACATTTTAGCATTGCTCTGGACAATTATCCATGCCAAATTTTGTGAAGATATCTCGTCAAATCAAACAGTTTTCATATAAGAACATGATTTTGATCGGTCAGTACGTATGACAGCTATACGATATAGTGACCCGATCTAGGTGGTTTCGACTAATGAACAGCTTCTTTGGTAGAAAAGGAGGTGTGCAGAAATTCAGAACGATATCTTAAACTTTTAGTAACTACTTCGCTAATATATTAGTTGTCAGCAATTAGCTAAATTGCATAACAATTATTTGACAAAAAATAATTGAATAATTAATACTAAGTTAGCGCCAAAACTAATGTAGATACAATTTTATTATACATACTCGTATGCATCTACATAAATATAAACAGTAGTAACGTTTAGGTGATAAAACTTTGCCTATTCAAGTTTTTAATTATAATACTACTTTAGCCTGAATGCAACACTGATAAGAAGTAACATTCAATATCAAAAATTTGAAGCTCAAAAATGTTTTTTGGATCTGTTTCATTATAAAAAACTAAAAATTTCAACGAAAATATTTAAGATTTCCGACTTTCTTGCTTATTTCGGTAAGTGAAGCAACGGCACAGAGAGAATATTAAAAATCTAGATCGTGTAGTAAAGTTTAACTAATTGATATAGTAATGTGTGAGTATAGTAAATCCATTTATATTGACCTAAATTCTTTATTGATTTAGGTCATAGAAACGGAAGTGTTTCTGTAAACATGACAAGCATTTGTTTTTTATACACCCTAATGAAGTAATGTAACAAACCTAAGTCAAATATTACTGTTTCCTTCAGATATAAGAGGGCCCCAGATGGCGAATTAACAATATTTAATCAAAATGAAATGGAACATTAAAGATAGTCTATAAAGAGCTAAAACCAACAAAAACTCACTATTCGAAAATACAATGTTTTAAGAATGAGCTGTACTAAAGGCGCAATTTCTTGATTTTTGTAGAATTCTATTTTTGAAATAATATTCGCAAACTGAGAGTCGTAAATCAACAATAAATATGAATATGTTATATACTGAGTACATTTATAAACATCGATATATGTATATGGTATATAAATATATATCAACAATATTTAGTCATTTATATGTCACCAAAGAAATTTGTCTTGTTTTCCGAATATACGTATAACAGACCACTAAGTGCAATTCTAGAGCAAACAAAAAAACAAAAAAACAAATATTGTAACACACGAATACAAAATTTCTTTGGTCATAAAGCGACGTGCCAAATGACATGACTCTTTTGCTGGGTGGTGCCGCTATGGGAGGAGCATTACAAGCACAAAACACTCACGTCACCTTCATTCTGATTAGTCAGCGTTGACCTGTAGAATGAACATAATTTTCGAAAATTTTGCAATATTTACGTTGTTTTTAAATATAATTTAGATGCATTTATTTTTAAATACAAGATATTTCATTATTTTTGTTAAACAACATTGTGGCATATTATATATACATAGACCTACATATGTATGTATTTAAAAACAAGCACAAATAATTTAACTTTGTCACAAGCGTTTAATAATAGCAAACATTATGATCGGTGGTTTTGAAAATTATTTTGTAATTTTTGTTCAAATATACTAAATATGTACAAACAAAAATTGTTTTTTATCTAATTTTTTTAACATTAAAAAAATTCTTTACAAAATAGGTCACATCAAATGCTCTGACTCAGCAATGAGTGTGCAATATTACTTTTCGCTATTGTTTATCTTTTATTTTTTTCTAAGCAAACAAAGCAGCATTTCACTACTCAATTGATTTCTGTAAGCTACAAGCACCTATCATATCAGTTGATTTCCATAATTTAACTGTCAAAAGTGTCATTCAGCTTTGTTTACTTTTTCCTGGTGCTCAGCTGAATCAGTTTTAGCTTATCCACACTTCAAACAACTTCATAACGGGTTTGGCAATTTTTAAAAAAGTGGCCGTCACAGCGCATGCTTGAGTTGTGTTAGCCGCAGGAAGTGGCGCATAGAAATTAGAAATGTCAATACTGAATGCCACTAAATTTAAAGAAAGAGGATAAAAAAATGTTTAATGAAGTGCTTGAAAGTATCTGAAGCAGTATTTTTAATTTGAATAAGCCATGCGAAGTGAAACGGGAAACACCACAGTACTGGTGAAGAGCAAGCAGATGGAAAATAATAGGGAGGGGCATTCGATCTTAGTCTGCTCTTTTCTCATAAGTTTCCACTTGGTATGGTAATCTATAAAAAAAAATATCGTATACTTCAGAAAGTTGTCATTTTGGCCACCAATCTCATAATATGAACCATGATATCGATAGTGAAGTAAAGATTTAGAAAATTTTAAATTTAAAAAGGATTTAGATCTTTTTAAGCGCTAAGCAACGAAGTAGTGGTTGCCTTTTCGAGAATCCTCCTTACATCGATAGGTTTTTTATACAACATTCAGGAAATAAAATTTGACAACCTACCAGTACCTTAGGGTCTCCTCTTTTCTGAATATCGTGATTTTTCACAAAAACAAAATTAGTTTTGGAAAGAGCTTAGAAATGTTTCAAAAACAGCTGATCTAATGGATGACTTTATTTTAATACATCAGAGTGCCCATAGGAGTGATCGAAGGGTGGAGATTATGTTAAAATAATCATAGATGCTACTGAAGAAGATTTGAAGGTGAGACAGAAAAAAA